CAATAAATGATGTAGCGAAAAACAAAGGAAAAGAGGTCAGGATTGAATTTTATTTTCAGGAATCCCATGAAAAGACATGTTCTTCATCATTTAGCAACAAGATTGGTTTACGAAAACGAAATTATTGCTGGATGAATTAATCGAACAAGCAAAGGAACTGATGATCAACGATGAAAAACCCACAATAGAAATGGTTACAAATATTTTTGACTCTATACATTTGATGATCAGCAAGCACGAAAATGAACTGAGACAAAAGATTGGTGCCATCGAAAAACAAAAAAAAGATTCAATTGAGGACTTTCAAACGCAATTGAGGAACAAACAAGAAGAACTAAGCAAACGAAACAGAGACTTTGAACGTACTCTCTCGGCTAAAGATCATACGAAGTTATTACAAGATCATAAAAAAACAATCGATTACTTAAAGATAATGACACAAGAATTAAGCGAACTGAAACGTCCTATGAAAACTGCATATCGTATCGAGGGAATCGACCAGTTGCAAAGAAATGTCGCTGATATTATTCAACAACTGCGGATTGATGAATGGCAACCAGGTAGTTTGAAATTTATATTTTCTGATATGTCAAAAGGAGGAAATTCAACTTAATTTTTACACGTCTCAAATGAATATGAGATTTCATCCTGCTTCTTATTACTTCTCATCGAAATCCGTGTTGTTCTCGCTCACTATCTTTCGAAGAATTGTAGTCATCAACTGGTGAGGCTAACTTTCTGAGAAATTTGGATAATTGTAGTGACTCATTGATAGTTGACTCTCATCGATTCCTCTGAATTTTGGATAGTTTCTAGGAGGGGTCTTTTTCATTAACTAGTGCATGTGCTGGCCTTCTATCTTAAAATTTGGAAGCACTAACTTCATATCAATGCGAAAGCATCGTAAAGACCATTTTCCACAGATGTGAAATATGTTTTATACGTTTCAAAGTTATTTTGACTTCGAATCTATCTAAGATGTGATATCATTTTGGTATACTTTTAAGCAAAAAAATATCGATGTTTTTCATTAAACGAATGGTGAAAAATTTATTACGGGCACAGAAGGTCCGATAAAAACTAGAGATTCAATACCGGCAGTTGTCCTAGTATATTTAAAACTTGAAAATTTTGTTGGATATTGTAACTCAATGCCATCTAGCCATGAAAAAATACTGGTAATAGTAGTGTCTCATGAAGAATATCGGGACAGTAATCTGATATTACCCAAAAACATACAACGAGATCAGACTTCGTTTATTCAGATTTATATTAAGTGTGAGATTTTACATTGATCGGTGAATATTTCGTGAAAGAAATGACTTGAAATTTCGATATGGAATATCTAACCCACGATGCAAAAGTATCCGTGCAAATGTCTGAGGCTATTGTGCAGCGAGGATGAATCATAGAAATTGAATTAAAATGTCTTCTGATAAAGTGAAATGAGCTCTTTTGAATGATGTATGTCTTATTCATTCATCAGAAAAAATGAGACTGACGCAGGGAAAATATGGAGGACTTCTAAAATGAATTGTTACCGGGTGTACCAAAAGTTTTGCGACATTTTTCCGCATATATCTCAGCTTGAGAAAATGATAGAATCCTGATCTTTTTCTTAAAAGATGTGCGGCGAAAAACTCTACATAAACTGCATACAAAAATCTCTATTAACTTGTTCTCATGGTGTTTTCCATACTCAATATGAACACCCTACATGGTAGTGCAATGTTCCAACATGTTGAGCATGATTAAAATGTTTGGAAGGCCTTTTTTGTTTTGCAATAGAGATTTGTTCATGCAGCTTATGTAAAGCTTTCGACAGCGTATCTTTCAAAAAAAGTCAAGATGCTATCACTTTCTCAAGCCGAGATATACACAAAACAAAAAAAGCCTTCCAAACATTTTTATCATGCTCAACATGTTGGAACATTGCACTACCATGTAGGGTGTTCATATTGAGTATGGAAAACACCATGAGAACCAGTTAATAGAGATTTTTGTATGCAGTTTATGTAGAGTTTTTCGCCGCACATCTTTTAAGAAAAAGATCAGGGTTGTATCATTTTCTCGAGCTGAGATATATGCGGAAAAATGTCGCAAAACTTTTGGTACACCCGGTAACAATTCATTTTAGAAGTTCTCCATGTTTTTCCTGTGTCAGTCTTATTTTTCCTTTTGAATGAACAAGTTATACATCATTCGAAAGAGCTCATTTCACTCTATCAGAAGACATGTTAATTCGATTTCTATGATTCATCTTCGCTGCGTAATAACCTCAGACATTTGTACGGATACTTTTGCATCGCGGGTTACTTTGTGGCATGTGCTAACCTTAATCTTAAGTTTGCGGTTTGATACCAAATTTTATCAGATTAAGTTTCTTTGAACTCGAATTCTTCACTTTGACTTCAATCGAACTCAAATCTCAGAAACTCAATGTCCATTGACTCGATCAAGAAATATGTGAATTTGATTTAATGTCTAGAGCTCTGCAGGGCACAGATAACCTGCCCTGCTCTGCCAGGGCAGGACAGGGCAGGGCCAGATTATGAAAATTTTTACAGGGCAGGTTGCAAGGTACGAGTATCATAACCTGTGACGATTTTTATGCGCTAGATATTGTCGACATTTTTTCTAAAGTTATACATTAAGAAAAAAAAATAGAAGTGAAAGTGAACTGAAAAATCAATTTAGATTGGTCGCAAAGATATTTAATAGAAGCAAATATGTCTGTAATCTATCCATTATATATTACATGGCTACTCAAGTTTGCATTTAGTTTTCTTATTGTGACTTTTGTCTTGATCTTTTCTTCATTATCATCATTAACTAATCTCTCAAATATCATCATTCATATCGGTTAGATTTTTGTGCTAGTGAAATATCAACTAAGTTTAATTCAAAAAAAGATATAGAACGAAAAAAGAAGTGGGCGATAGAGAAACTTAAAACTGGTGAATTTATAGCTACAGTAGAACCGCCATCATCATCTTATGGTTCATTTTGGGAACATTTATTACATATTAAACGTTTAAATAATGAATATCCACCGTTTGTAAAATGTCGATTGTGCTATGAGATATTATCACATTTCACATCAAATGGAACTTCTACTAATAGCTATCATTTTAAAAATTGTTTCGATGAATCAAATACACTAAAAAACAACAAAACTCTTGATAGGATGTGGGTGCGAAAAGAAGATGCATACCCATATCGGAGTGTGTTTATAGTTCATCAGATCGAGTATTAGAAAAAAGAAGATAGTTTTTAAATTCAGATTTTGCTGATGATATTTTGATGATTAGACATTTTCGAGATATATAATGTTGTTGTTTTTTGCTTCATGATTGTAACAAATCGAAATAAAACTGTATAATGAATTAATACGAAAGTTTGGAATTTTCTTTAGTTTTAAAGAAAACACGGCAGGGCAGGGTCAGGTTGTCAAAATCTCAGTAGGGCAGGTTACAGGTTGTCAAAATACCGTAACCTGCAGCCCTCTATTAATGTCATATCAAAAATTTATCTTCTACTCTATCATTCACTCTCAAAAGTTTCCTTAAAAAATTACAATATGTTTTTCTATCTGGCAAATCCATAATAATTTTAGTGCAAATCATAGAAGAGTACTACTTTTTGTACAGAACTATACGAAAATCCGTATGAAAAATGAAAAAGTTTATTGCATCCTATCGTTTCACAATTGTTACATACTACAGTGCACAAGTTTTCTACATGTTTCGAAACTCACAGCGGATTTTGTAAGCAAGATAGTAGATTCATTGACATTCTCTAAACCTAAAAAGATTTGGTACGAACAGTGTGACATGCTTTTCCTTTTACAGAACCTAAAATAAATCTGTACTGAACTCCGGAATCTTTCAAAATTTAGGACTATACCATTTTTTAGAGTGCTGTATATGATTGGCATTCCATTAGCTTTCAAGTAAAAATATCAAGTGACATATCAGGTTTGCATAGCTGAAAAATTCCAATTAACAGACAAATGCTTGTTTGAGTCTCACATATCACAAACTATCCGAATGCAAAAACTTTTAGTAATTCGAAACTAGATTTGATGACAGCTAGATCGATAAAATACTTGATCAACTGGAATCCGAGTCTGCAAAAAACAATGTGAAGAGATGATGATTTATATATGTTATATGACCCTGTCGGTGACCATTATTAACTGTTACGCTTCATTTTTGTTTGTTTCTTTTTCTCAGCATGACTTCTTCCTTATAGTGTTAACACTTTGACGATTCAAGGGAAGAGCAGTTAAACATCGAAATAGAGGGAAGATGAAGTATAAAACTGCAACAAATATTGTGGTTTAGACTAATCATATCGGATTTATTTATTCTGATTCTGACAAAAGAATATTTGTCGAAATATCAATAAATAAATGCGATGTGATTAGTCTAAAAATCACAATGTTTGTTGCAGTTTTATACTTCATTCTCTCTCTATCTTGACGATGTAAGTTTCTCTTTCTTTTCTCTTACGTGACTAATTAGTATATAAGTGTGCTTTTGTTCTCGTATAGACAGAAATAGAGCAATGAAGTAGCTCAATACGCATCGTTTCGACGGTAGCCATTGAGCTACCTTCTCTAATTCGTCACGGCATATCTGCTCATTTCTAACAAATATTTTTCTTTTAGTCAGTAGCGAACGAAGATTATTCATTCGGTATGATGGGAAAAGGTCGAAGGAAAAAAATATCGAAAGGAAAAATGTCGAAAAACGAGGCGCCACAAAACATATAAGTGACGCGGTAACATGTGGAAAGTGACGCCTCTACTTTCAATATTTTTTCTTTCGATATGTTTCCTTTCTATCTTTTTTCATCCATTCATTCATTCAACATTTGACCTTTCATTCAACAGAAACTAAGTTCAAAGATAAATAACCAGACGTCTTTCTACTTTCTTTCATTTTCAATATATAGAGGGTACAAGACAAAATACGCACACGAAGTCAATTTATACAATGAGCAATACAAGAGTGAGTCAATATCGAGTGACACAACAGCCTGGTACATCAGAAAACTTCGAAAATATGCAGGAATCAATTACGAATGAAGAAAAAGCTAAACAACAACAACAACATCAATCAAATTCTTCAAACAGTTGGTTTACACGCTATTTTGGTGACGATTTTATGCTATGTTGTTGTTTATGGTCATCGAACAGTAATAATTCAAATTCGAATGATAACGATTGTTGCTGTTGTGATGATTCTGGCAATGCATGTGACTGTGATGGGTGCGATTGTGATGGGTGCGATTGTGATGGGTGCGATTGTTAATTATTATTGTTTTGTTATTCAATTCCACTGTATCATAAGAATAAAATATTATCATCATCTATTGTTTAAATTGTTCGATATACACAGAGGGATAGAACAACAAAATATTTATTTAAAATAACAGGTTTTGTTTATTAGCATTGTGAGATATTTTATAAAAGAAGCTGTTATTTTGCGAAGCTTAGTAAGTTTTGAATTGAATGTATGACCAAGAAAACATTATAATTTATTCATTGGCGTGCTCATTTATATGACTAATATTAAAGTAAAATTTCATGATATTTATTCAGTCTTTTCATAATTTTCTATTGTTTTCATCGTGCATGCATGTTATAGACGAGAATAAAAAATGTGCCATTTGCACGATATTATCATCATTTAAAGCGTCAGTCTTTTTGCATATGCAAATTATAATAGCAAATAATTGCTAACATCCTAAGGAAGAAACATCATACTTTTATATTTTAAAGTACATAAAGTTTGTTAGAGTATATTAAAGTTTATATTCGCTTATAATTTTTCAGATGTATCATTAATTTGTTCTGTGTATTTTATGAAACAACTCCGTTATATGTCATAAAAATATTGGCTGCAACAATTTGGTTTCAAAAAGTTGTTTAAACAAAAGATTCAAGTATCAGGAAATATGACGATGTTAATTACTTAACTAAGAGGATTCACAAGATAAAAATCATCATACGATAGTTAAATTTCATATTGAACGTTACTGCAAAAAGATTACCATGAAAAAAAATCTAGATGTGTATAAGCTATGCTCTTTTAACTTTTTGACTATGATTATGAATCAGGTAGATCTGATCGCAGTATAGCATCGAATTTTTGTATTTATTTGAGTAAGTTTTTCAACGGTAGTCTTATGACTTATAAGATCAGCAGCTTGTTCAATGAGATGAAAGTGATTGATCACACATTGAAAATTGACAATGAGAACAATAATTGAGAATAATAGTAACAAAATAATCATAAGATTATCTTTTATGATATACTTCGAAAGGTATGTCCATTAACCATTTGTAGACAGTAACAAGTATGTGAAATAGTAACAATGCGCTCACCTGTCGAGACTATTGTACTGTAAATATTGATAAAACTAATTTCTTATAAAACATATTGAAAAAAAATTTAATCTTTTGAGAATAAATTCTCTTTATAATGATAATTGTTAAAGTTACACAAAATGCAGATATTGTGATGATTTTATTGTTCACTTTTTCTTTACAAACTCCAATCTCACTTAAATATTATCTTATTCATTCTAAAGCTATGTCTATATATAATAATGTTCATTAGCGTTCATTGTGCTTTTTTACTTCCTTAATAAACGCACACTAACGTATGTCATATCTTAAGTGTACTTTTTACATGTATTCCACTGTTGGAGTTAAAACTATTTTTCAAAAAGTTGATCAGTTATAACTCAAAAGTTATAACTCGAGTTATAACTACCGTATTTTTAACTCCAACAGTGATGTATTCAAAATCTCTACTATCTATAAGATTTAGTTCATCTGATAAAAATCATTATAATATGAAGATGATCGAAAAAAATCAATCTTGAATTCATTTTTTCAAAGTTAAATAATTACAGCAAAAAAAAAATATTTGTTTCACATTCTTTAATCATTTTCATTTGCCATAGAACAAGTAACTCTTGATGGTGTAAAAATCATTTGTGCTTGATGAGTAACAGATGAGAAAAAAAAACATATTAGACTGAGAACATTAATTGCTGAATGATAGACTAATAATTCGACAGTCTCAGTCGCTGAACTTTCTAAAATAATAGTTGTTTGAATTTTTTCTACATTAATATTTATCGAAGTGAAACGTTGTCGACTAACAACGGTCCATTTATTTGATTCATCCAAGAGAGTATATTTTGTATTATTTACATCATTAGATTGCCATAGAGGTGATACATACCAAAGACAAAATGATGAACTATTATGTTTATTAGCTGAAATATTAAGTGAATGATTATTATCAAGTGTTAATCATTTCGATCGATTTTCATATATCCAAATAACTCCTGATTGAGTTCCAATCAATGAAGGATATACTAAATAATCTTGTTGCATAGTTGAAGCAAAAACGATATAAAATGCGAGTTCATTTCTACCGAAATAAAAATTTTAAAACATTAAGAGCAAACAATAAGAATAAACTTACATTGTCGATTGAGTTGAATAAAGTTCTTCTTGTCTATTTTCATTATTTTGAGCCTAAGCTGAAATTAATAAATTAATCATAGTTATTGATCGATCAGGCTTTAAAATCAATCCATCTTGTCGACAATATTTCATAATACGTGTACTATCAGTATAATTAATCACATCACCTAGACCAACGGGACCAGTTGAAAGAATAGCTATAATTATTTCTCGTTCAGAAAGTAGTTCCATAGGTGATGATTTATAAGTTGAACCAGTCTTCTTTGTAGTCGATCAAAAAACATCTTCAAATGGAGCAATACTAAGAGCATCAGATAATAGACTTGAAATTCCAATAGTCCATTGAGCTTCTTGATCAACAATATGTCTTGTATAATCAACTGATACACGTGCTTGTGTTTCTCGTAATATTTCAAGAGCTTGTAAAATATGATGAGGAAACGATGAACAATATTGAATACTTATATTAGTTTTATTGGCTCTTTCACTCATTGACATTAACCATGTCGACCAAGATTAATATCAGTAGGTAATGGAGTAAATTTCGAAGTTTGAGCATGTAACCCATCTTGTTCATACATAATCAAACCTGAAGCATGTGCTGCTTCACTTCATAAATCAATTCAAAATGAATCATTTCCTATTGGAAGAGACAATTGATTGATATTATTAATAAGAAAAGCATATTTATCAAAATAGACTGTATCTAGAGCCCAATATCGATTATGTGCTGCCAGGGGTATACTTTCTATTTAATGATATAGTCTTTGAAGACCATCAAAAAAAAATATCAAGTCGGTATTTCCATTGACTAACACCATCTTCAATAGTTTTATTATACCACCATGAATCAGGTTGAATGTATAATGAAAAGGAATATTTATTTTTC